GTCCTCATCTGTCCCCCTCAGTCCTCATCTGTCCCCCTCAGTCCTCATCTGTCCTCATCTGTCCCCCTCAGGCAGAAAGAACAACTCAAGAACCACAAAGACTCAAGCTGCCATGAAAAATTTGTGTCCGTGTCCACAAGTGTCCCTGCCCACCAGTGTCCCTGTCCTCCTTTGTCCCTGTCCATCAGCGACTTCATCCACCAGTGTCCCTGTCGGCCAGTTTTCCTGCCCACCAGTGTGTCTGTCCTCCCTCAAAGACTAACTTTCAAGCTTGATGGACAAGCCAAATGTCTTCTGAAAAAGTTTGATGGTCAGACGAGACAAAGACTGAGCAGTTTGGACACAAAGACAAGAAGTCCGTTTGGAGGAGTCAGACCTCAGAACACTGAACCAGCTGTCAGGCACGGTGGTGGCAGCATCATGCTGTGGTCCAAAATGAGGAGGACCACCTCCAACTTCTTCAGCTTCACCTCCAACCAACAGCTGGGCGGTTGAAACGTGGACACAGAACTGTGTGTCCTGTATTGTCCTGTTGGACGCAACTTTGGGTCCAACAGGACAATGATCCCACACACACCAGAACTGGTTAAATTAGGCTCACATGCAGCTTTTGGACTGGCTTTCCCAAAGTCCAGACCAGAACCCGACTGATAATTTATGGACTCTGATTAAAACCAGGTCCAAGCAGAAAACCACCAAACTCCAACAGGAACAAGAACCAAGAACCACAAGAAGAAGACAAACAGCCTGAGGGGACCTGCTGAGGGACATCTAACTAAACATTAGTGGGAGTGTGTTGGAGACTGTGTGAAACTAAAATAGAAAAAAATCACAAGAAAGTCAAACTCGTGCTCCCAGTTCTTGTTTAAATGAATTATTAGAATGTCCGTCCGTCCATCCATCCATCCATCCATCCATCCATCCATCCATCCATCCATCCATCCATCCACTTCTGCTTATTCCTAAGTCGGGTCACGGGGGCAGCAGCTTGAGCATCATTAGATTGTACGTTGTAGAATATTTACATGAAATCCCTAAAAGCTCCAAATTACAGACATTCCTGTGAATGGAAAGAGTTCTGAGTAAAATATTAAAAATGAGACGTTGCAGATTGTTTTTCTAAGAACAGCGAGCGGCTAATCTTGGCTCTGGAGTGGAAACCAGACTAATAGCAGGAGTGGCGTGTCACTGCGGCTCAGTCGGACCACGACAGTGAGAAGCTCGGTAAGCTTCATCTAAAACCTGCAACAAAAGCAGAGGCGAATTGGACAGACGGCTGATCCTCTGTGGAAACAAAGACCGAGGCTTCAGCTTTACTGGCCTCAAAGTGCAGCCCAGTCCTGGAAACTTACATTTAATCAGCATTCAGCTCCTTCTGTGACATTTAGTTACTTAAAAACATCCACGCTGATCTGCTGTAGCTGAACCACTTGAACTGCTGGCAAACTGAACTACTGCACGTTTAGTTCTGCCACCTGTCAGTTTTACACACGTCCTGTTAGTAAAATAGAGAAATTACAACATACTGTATCAAGGCCAAAATGTGAAGTCGTCAAAGATCCTTTGAAAAGTTGTTTCTCTGGTCTACTCAAAGTTGTTGGTGGTGCAGAGGCTAGAGAAGATGGGCCTGTGATCGGAAAGTTGCAGGTTCAACTCCCTGTACCGTCAACATCAAAATGTGGGTGGAAAAGGTGAAGCACCCACACCTGCCTCCACCCTCATTTGCCCCATTCTGGGCCCCTAAGCAAGACCCTTAACCCCCACCATCTGCTCCCAAAAAACAGGTCTCTCTTGAAAATGAGTTCTCGTGACACAATGAGACTTCCTGTATAAATAATGGGTAAATGAAAAAAAATGGTGGTGCCGTGAACACGCCTAATAACTGGGCTGCTGTCACCGCTGCTGATTAATGTGTGGTTGTTCTGTATCACTCTGTGGGCCAGGTGGATGGATGATGAACAGATGGATGATGGATGGATAGATGGATGAACAAATGGATGGAAGTATGATGGTTGGATGATGGATGGATGTGTGTATAATATATCCTGATGCATGCTCAATAATTCAGGTAGAAAAATCTAAAAAAAAGTTAAGTCTGGTCCTCTGGGCGGGTTCAAAAAACAAAAAATTGTAGAAAGGTTTCGTCTTTCATCTGAAAGACTTCTTCAGTGTGAGGAGCTGCGTTCAGCTCAGTCTTATAAAAAGCACCTTCTCAGTGGATCAACCGGTTTGTGTAACAGCTTTCAGTCTGTTTTATTGTAGTGTGAAACTCGTCTCCTCCGTCGTGCTCTGGTGTTTATTGGTGAGCAGCTGGGGACAGACAGCGGAGCTCTCTGCAGCATCTTCTCTCTCAACAGCTGCTTTTCTGTTCACCTCCTCTTCATCATCTTCAGCCACTGACAGTTATTTCTACATTCTCCTCTGTTGATGCACTTCGGTTCAAAAGGTACCAACGTTCAAGCTGGATGGAGCGATCTGTCTATGTCTTATACCCAGAATGCATTGTAACAATGTGGAGACGTCCATGTGACAATAAAAATAACAAGAACTGAACAGCCTGCAGGATTTTTAGAGTCTGTTAAGTGAAACAAATGTTTGTCAGTTTCAGTGTTTTGTTCCAACTAGACGGAGATCCCTTTAAGACCCATGGAATCCCTTCATGAACCCAAACATGCAGCCAAATGGTTGATTTTGTTGGCATTATTTATGCCAGAAGTTCTGCTTCCTGAAAAAGCAGTTTATAGTTAAAAAAAAAAAACTCGCCTCTCAGAGGATGGCAGAGTCAAACCAAGAAACGATACCTGTGCTCCATGCAGGAAGAAAGTGGGTCCACGCAGGCGGTGACTGCTCCGATGGTGGAACCGGCTCGCACAGCTGGGTCAGGATGAAAGAGCACAGCCTGGACCACGTCCAGAACATCTGTGTATCTGGAAGAAGCACATAACTTCAGTGTCTTCTGGACTTTAAATCAGCCCAACACACTAAACCAAAGGCTAGGGTTAGCTTTAGATTTAAATAAACGTTGAAGAAAAACTCAAATCTGCTTCTTTGTTCTTATCTGAGTGAAACAGAGTTAAAGGTTCTGACACATTTTAAAGGTTCTACTTATGTAGATTATGAGAAAAAGAAGCCATTTGTCCATTTGCTCTTTGACATGAAGGGGTATGGTATATATATATATATATGTGTGTGTGTGTATATATATATATATATATATATATATACACACACACACACACACACA